TGGGTATATTCTGGGACATCGAGAACCTTCAGGTGCCGACCGATCGGTCAGCCATACAACTGGTGGAGCGGATCCGGCGCTTGTGTTTTGAGCGCAAGTACCGCGAGAGCGAGTTTCTGGTGGTTTGCGACACATATAAGACAAACCCCAAATTGCTCAACGATCTGAACGCAGCGCAGGTGACAGTCATTCACGTAAACGGTATGGCGAAGAACGCGGCCGACGACAAGCTTCGGCAGCAGATCCAGCGATTTGTCGATCTCATCGGTAATGCGTCGGCTGTTGTGATGCTCACAGGTATTGATTGTCTTATGTTTTATTAGTCTTAGGATTTGATGACTTAATCGGAAACTGATTTATTTTCAGATGACGTAAACTTTGCGCCCGTTTTAAGTGATTTGCGAAACCGAAGAGGCGTTGAGATCAATCTGATCCAAAGACAAGCCGGCGCTGCCCTTAAGACGAGCGCTAATTTTGTTTTAAATTTTGCCGATTTCTGCAAAGATCTGGACTTACGACAAAAAATTCAAATCAAAGGTTTATATATTAAAATAAATTAAATATCTCTTTAAAAATATACAATAATATGCATAAAACCAAAATCTCTTTAGAGTTTAAAGTATTAATCAAAGGTTTGCCTACAAATCGCCGATCGGTGGATATCGTAAAGCGGTTGCAGCAAATGGTGACCAACTGTGGCGGTCGTAAAGTGGCCACAAACCCGTCCAAAGGCGAGGCCACCATTCAGTTTGCCTGCGCGGACGACGCCCGTCGTTGCCAACAGAGGCTCAATAACCACAATGTTTTTGGCCACAGGATTGAAGCGGTTGTGTTGGGCGACGATTGGCGCCCTCAACAAAGAGGTTACCAGAACTGGTCCCGAGGCCGTCGTCCCGCGCAAACTCGTCGCGTATCGCCAGTCAAACTAAGAGATCGTCCAAATAATGGTCGCCCCGTATGGCCGCCATCGTCGGCAGGTGTGGCCAAAGCCCCATCGGTTGCTTCCGCGGCTCAGTTTGTCAATCATAGAACCGGTGGTTAATATGTCGGCAATTCTTGTCTATTAGTTATAAATATTTTAAAATGCATTTTCCTTTTCGTCAGTTTTTTATTGCAATTGTTTTCGATAAAAGTCTTAATGTTTTGATACAAATAGTATTTAATTGTGTTTTATAAATGTTTAGTAGATTTTAATCATATTTCATATGAGAGCATAATTCTTGAGATTAATGTCTAAGTTGGGAACATGGCCCACGAAGATAACTGAATTCCGACGGGGTTGATATGGTCGTGTTCAGTACAATTAGTAGATGTATATTCTTTTGTCAAAACCTGCCAATGGCCACAAACACCAAAGTTATGGCCAATATTCAAACCACTTGCATAGGGCTTAATGCATTGAAAATTGAGTTTTCACATGAGTAATGCTATTCACCAAAATTATAACGTTATAAAAGCCTATGCAAGTGGTTTGAAATTTGGCCATAACTTCGGTGTTTGTGGCCATTGGCAGGTTTTGACAAAAGAATATACATCTACTAATTGTACTGAACACGACCATATCAACCCCGTCGGAATTCAGTTATCTTCGTGGGCCATGTTCCCAACTAAATCATATTCTGTTAATAAATCGAAATTTTTAAAAGTTTTTAATAATTTGTGAATATTATTACAAATAAATTATATTTTAATTATAAGTGTCCAGTTAACTAATCCAAGGAATGAACATGGTACAATTAGAATTTACAGTTAACATTACACAAAACTTTTTTAAACTTAAAAGTTAGCGTTATTTATAAGCCGTTATGTATGTATTGACTACACAATCAAAACACATGCCTTTTTGAACACTAAATAATAACAACAAAAACTTTAAATACAATTCAAAACACAATTTAATATCAATTCACACATGAATTGTCTCAAAGTGTTAACACGCCGTCGACTGTCCGCCAGTATCTACACGCCATGTATTGTCCGACAGCATCGGTGGTCATCGCAGCAACACATCCACCGTAACGCCAATCAGACGGACACCGGCGCCGACGGTGGCGATGGTATCGGCGGTCGATTGGATCAGTTGGACCTGAGCTCAAGAGTGGATGGCGGAGAAGTTGGTGGCGAGCGTGTGATATACAGTGGGCCGGAAAGTATGGTCAAACTGATCAAAACAATTAAGATGTTCTCCATATCGACCACAGTGTTGGCCACTGGGTGTCAGCCATTCATTGTACAGCAGATAATGGCCACCAATTCGTCGGCGTTTGCCGTGGGGTTCGCCGGTCTGACCAGCGCTGGTATATTAATGTCGCCGCTATTGTTAAACTGGTTCACCAAACGATATGTCACATCTCTGCACTACAACCCCGATGGTCGCCGATTCACGGCGTGGACACTCAACCTGTTGTGTCGGCCCAGAAGTGTTGTCTATACCGCGGCCGACGTAACGGTTCCCGAGGCGTTGGGTATGTTTACCACGTATTCGGTGACCACCGGTGCCGGTAAAAGGCGCCCACTTTTCGTGGACCCGGAGTTTGTGACCGATTTGTCCGCTTATAAAGTGATGTTAGGCTTTGATAAGCCGTTTGAACTGAAGTTGAATAACATATTAGATAAGAGTCAAACCGATGAAGAATTTAAGACTAAATGATTATTAATTTACATTTTGTTATTTTTTTTGTAAAATTTTAACTAAAACTCGGATCAGTTGTTAATTCTGCTATGATTTTAGTCTTAAATTGTGTTTTTTTATATAATTTGTATGTTTAATGCATTTTAAAAGTTAATTACCGTACAATCATTAGATTTAAAATGTGTGTTCATTATATAGCGCTGATTGTCATAGTTGGCTGTTTGTTTAATTAAATTTTTGAAATTAAAATAAATTTTCATTAAATTTGTAATAATTAATGTCTATGCAACACATGGACAATGTTTGTAATACTGTACATGCATTCTATGGTAAGAGGGAAGTTTAGTTGCAAATCTAGCCCTGAATGCACTAAAGTATTGCATGGATATAACAATTTGTCTATTGATAGCAGTATTTTGACAAATTATCATCACTTTGAGTCCACTTTACTTCAAATTAAAATCAATTTTTGTACCAATTCTTGACATATCTGGTGAAGAGAGACACAGAATCCGAGAGAGAGAGAGAGAGAGAGAGAGAGAGAACATTCTGTGATGATATACTTAAACGTAACATTCATTTATTAAATGAAGTTTATTATTAAATAAAACAATTATTTTACAAAATATATTAACTGTTATGTGATTTATGAATCCAATATTAATACTAGAATATGGTTTAATAACACACGTAATGACTAAACGCTCCCTCAATACACAATTTGCACTTTTAATCTGAATACACAATTGTGGCAAACATTGTCTTCAGTATATATAACGTTATATTTGGGGGAGGAGTGAGTGTGCATTATATGTGCTTATATATTTATTAGTAGTGATATGCTTATAATAAACAGTCCCCAATGTATATAAGTAACTATTATTTTGAGCGACCCTTCAATGCCTGCGCAATGTGTGGTCAAAATCGTTGCCTAAATGTAAATATTGTGTTGAAATGACTGAAAATCAAATTTAAAATATTAATTATAATTAAATGCAATCAAAACTATTCATTGAAAGTAATTATAAGTTTATATAGAAATAAACTGTTGTTTGAGAAGCACTGAAAACTATATATGGATTGTGTGGACAAACAAACGGTTTGTATTGTAATGACTGGTAATTTAAAAAGCGATGACTAAAAGTTTTAGATTTAGTCTAAAACCATGTGTTTACAGTTATTTAGGACTCAATTACATCTTCCCGCAAATACCTGTTTAAAAGTACACAGTATTGGTTATAATATCTATTATTAACTAATCGTAACTAATAATAACTAATAACGCGATAGCATTGGACTGATAGGCGACTCACAAATCCAAGCCATTAAACGTAAGGCAAACAAAGAGTTGACTGTATTAGTAAAAGCCATAATGGTTTTCGTTATCAATTATAAGTACAAATAACTGATGATTATTACATTCAGGTTTATTGTGTCAAGGTTAAAAAGGGAAAACATCTTGATAAAGCCGGTCCACATCTATGTGAAACGTGTTTTGAGATTTTACATACATTGACATCAATTCATCACTCAATCACTCACTCATTGTATTGATTATCCATTTGACTCGTTTTGCTGACCAATCCTATGCTCCCGAAGCCGGCCATGTCTTCGCATTTACGCTCAAAACAATCTAATACACAGACATTAGTGTGTAATTACGAGAAGAGTGCCATTCAGTCACTACCGCCGCCGAGTGTCCCTCACCTTCCAGTGGGCATCTTTTGGGACATCGAGAACATTCAGGTGCCGTTCAATCGGTCGGCCGTACAACTGGTGGAGCGGATCCGACAGAAGTGTTTTGAACGCAAGTACCGCGAGAGCGAGTTTCTGGTGGTTTGCGACACACATAAAGTGAACGATGAATTGCTCAACGATCTGAACGCAGCTCAGGTGACAGTCATTCACGTGAATTGCGTGGCGAAGAACGCGGCCGACGATAAGCTTCGGCAACAGATCCAGCGTTTTGTTGATCTCAACGGCTACTCGTCGGCCGTCGTAATGATTACGGGTTTGTGTTTTGTTTGATTAGTTTTTTTTAATCTCATGTCTTAATTGATAATTGGTTTACTCTTTTAGATGACGTTAACTTCGCGCCCGTATTGAGTGATCTAAGAAATAGAGGACGCGTTGAGATAATGCTAATCCAAAGACAGGCGGCGCCAGCCCTTAGAAATTCAGCCGATTTTGTCATCAATTTCACTGATTTGTCCGAAAACTTGGAAATCCGACGCAAAACTCATAGCAAAGGTTTTTAATGACTTTATACTAACTTTCATTATATAACTGACAATTAGTAGTGAAATAAATGTGTCAAATGTTATTTGGATTGATAAAGGGATTAACGAATTATGAGATTAGGCTAATGACTACTTTTCCATTGGGTTTATGAGATGAGATGTAATTTTTGTGCGCTTTTATGGGGCGTTTAGTTGACTATAAAACTTTAAACAATAGCTTAGAATTCACGAGATGTTCAGTACATCGTTGAATGTCTCGCTGTTCAGTACAACAATTGCATGCCTTTTGCCAATTGATTGTTAAAATGATGTCTCATTCCAATTATTATTTGTCTAATTCCCGAACTCGCGGGCGATCTCGACAATCACGACTACCACCACGACTACAAAAACCCCGCCCACTTGAATCTCGATCGCCGGCACCCCTTCGGTCATTACAAATGGCTGTCTATCGGTCCGCAGAAACCCAATTATTGGTAACTAATTTACCAACAGATCGGCCGATCCCTCTCATCAAGAAATGTCTGCACCGAATGTCGACTAATTGTGGCGGACGTAAGATTGCGATCAATCCGACGAACGGCACAGCGTTTATACATTTCAAGACAATGACTGACGCCCGACGGGCCCAATACAGGCTTCACTCCCAGGAAGTGTTTGGACACAGCATTGACGTGACGTTTATGGGCCGCCTTATTGACGACAGCTGTAGCGATGAGTCCGGCTCATCGGCAGCTCCTCCACCGCCGCCGCCTGTGGCCACTCATTCGCCGCAACCATTGTCTCGATATAGTCGTCCGCTTCAAGACTTAATGTCCACCGATTATCGGACGCGTGGAAACTCCGTGTCTTCAGTTCAGTCTCATCTCAACGAACTGATGGCTTACTGTTCAAATCACAGCAGTCATAGTAAACGACCCGCCAGTGTCGAGAGCTTCCAATTTGGTCACCAGCCGTCGCATAAGCATATCCTTCCGGCGGTTCACATATCGATATCGAAATTAACGAGTAATGTCCACCACTTGTTGGACACACACGCCGGGTGTATACCGCTGTACTCATTCCTCGACTGCTTTTTGGCCGATTCCAACGAACTGTTGGACACAGTGACGCGACCGGTGGTGGCGTTGGAGCACCTCATCTCTTGCGTCCCCGGTGTGTGCGTATCGGTGGCCACCGCGACACTCGTCAAGAATGTGATGTGGATTCCGAACCGCAATCGGGAGCCCATCGAGGAGTCTGAATACGCGGCGAGCGTTCACAGCGTTGGTCGCAAAGGCGGACCCACTCCGGGCCAGATGTTGGCGCACTTTACCAAAGAGGTACGCGAACTGTTGAAGAGTCAATCGCACGCCACCATCGCGTTCAACAAGTTTGTGCCCACATATCACACACACTTTGTGCGGCAGCTGTGTGTTGGCCACTACGGGCACACGAAGTTGATCGACCTGTTGGACGATTTGCCGCATATCGTTCACGTGTACGGCGAGGGCGACGGCCGTATGATAACACTCACCCATAAAGAGCAGACAAAGCGTTTTGCCACAGATCTGGTGAAAGTACTGAAAGCACAGAACCACTCGCGTCTAAAATTGTCTGATTTTCCCGCCGCTTATCATCACGTGTTTGGCCGCCCCTTCGACGTGAGCGACTACGGGGTGTGCCTTCTCGACGACATTCTTCGCGACCTCTACGAGGGAACGGTTAACATATCGACGTACGGCTCGAACGACCGGTTGATTGAATTGCCCAAAAGGGACCGATCGGACGAACACATGCGACGGACGGTGGCGTTCAGTCGCGAAGTGGTGGAACTGTTGCGCTACTCCCGCGAAGTGGTCAACTTTCAGATGACATTCTCGTTGTTCATACCGTGTTATCACCGGTATTTCAACCGACAGTGTCGTGTTATCGACTATGGCTTTAACAAACTCATCGAACTCTTGGAGGAGTTGTCGCCGCACGTCATAGAGATTATCGCCAACAGCGAAGACGAGCTCTGCGGCGAGAAGCAGATCCGTCTCAGTCGCGACAATCGCGTCCACGCTTTGATCTCTCGCTTTGAAACAATACTCCGACACCAGAGCACCCGTTCGCTCAGAATCGACGACTTTGAGCTGATTTATGGGCAAAAATATAACTCTGAAATCGATTACTTCGAATTCGGTTCCGTAGATCTGATCGATTTTGTCGACAAAATGTCGGCCAATAAGTTCCGAATAGTGACCACTCAAAGTAATGGCACACAAATCACTTTAATGGACA